GTGCGTCAGCCGCGAGTCGACGTACATCCGCCTGTGGGTGGGCGCGTCAGCGATTGTCCCTGCACGACGAAAGACAACGAAGGAAGAGGAAAAAAACGCACATGAACTCCTCATTCCACTCCAACGCATACGTATGGAACCCCTCGTCGTACCGCCCGCGGCGGGTGGTCCACCACCCGTACGTCTTCGCGACCGCGTTGAGGAACGTCGCGGGGCCCCAGTTGAGCGACGAGCGCACGTAGTTGATGCCCTGCTTCGGGTAGCTCGGCCCGTTCCCGCGCGCCTCCATGATGTCGATCTCCCCGCTCAGCGGCCACCCCCCGTACACGCTGTCGACGGGCAACATCCAGATCGCGGGCCATAGCCAGTCGCCCGTGGGCAGCTTTGCGACGACTTCGACGCGGCCGAATCTGTGGGGGTGAGCGTCAGCGAGCGGGTCTAGTGAGCGCGAGCGTAGCGGTAGTGGAAATAGCGAGCGTAGCGGTAGCGGGAATAGCGAGCGTAGGGGTAGCGGGAATAGCGAGCGTAGCAGTAGTGGAAATAGCGAGCGTAGCGGTAGCGGGAGCAAACGAAAACTCACTTCACACTCGCAGTTTTCCTCGTACTAATCCTTGCGCTCATCACGGGCGGGAAGATCTTGCCCTCCGTCGCGTTCGAGATGACGGAGCACGCGGCGAGGTAGGCGGGGAGGTCGAGCGGGGCGTCGGGGGCTGTGGGGAGGGGGAGGGGTTAGCGAGCCGTTTTTGTTTGAGCGTAGCAGGAGAAAAGGGAGGAGGGGGAGGGAAGGAGGGAGGGGGAGAGCGACGAGCACGATGCACACGCCGTCGTCGGCCGTGCCATGCCTCTGCGGATCGACGTAGCGCGGTGGGCGCACGACGACTCGGCATCTCCGTCCCCAAACAAAGCCAACGAAGTCGAAGTCGCCCCAGCCCCGTCCCCCCGCCCCCCCCCAAAAATGGAGGGACCGATAAAAAGAAAACATAGTTAGAAAGTAGGAAAACCACGCACCAATCCCCCCACCCCCCGGCACCTCGCCCTCCGTCGTATTAATGCCCGCCGCGCCGTGCCCCGAGGTGGTGTACCCGGACGAGTGCGTGATGTTGTACGTGCAGCCGGTGAGGTTGTAGACGGCGCCGTCTGTGGGCGAGCGTCAGCGAGCGGGTCAGGAGCGTTAGCGAGCGTAAGGTGAAAGCGAGCGGGTCAAACGTGAAGTGAAAACGAGCGGGTCAAGAGTATGATATGGGAGGCGGGGTGATAGTGAGAGCGAGTTGGGGGAGGGGGAAGTGAGAGGAGGGAAGGAAAGGAAAGGAGAAGAGGGACGACACGCGGGTCTCGTGCGCCGCCGACCGTCAGCGGGTGTAGAGCATAGCGGGCCGTGCAGCCACCCCACGCGCTCTCCCTGCCCCCGTCCACGGCGAGCGCAGCGAGCCCCGTCGATGTCCACAAAAGTAGAATAGAAGAAAAGATAACAATAGACTAAGTGATGACAACGAGAGAACGCGAACGCACCCATAATATTCCCTATCGGTAGCATATCGCTCGTGAGCGTGGGGACGAGGTACAGCTGGCCGTTGTGCACGAAGGAGTTGGTGTCGAAGGGGGTGGTCATTTCGAATTCGCCGTTTCTGTGAAGGAACGAGCGTCAGCGAGTGAGTTCACGGGGGAGGGGAGAGGGAGCGAGTGAGTTCACGGGTGGAGGGGGAGGAGGAAGGGGGTTAAAGTGACGAGAAGGAAGAGGAGGGGGAGAGGATGGGAGAGAGAGTGGAGGGAGGGGAGGGGAGGGGAGGTGTGCCAGCACCGACCCCAAGCGAAAGCAGGAGGAGTAAAGAGGAGAAGGGAGGGAGGAGAAGGGGAAGGAAGGTGTGTCAGCACCGGCGGACAGCAGGCGCGCGAGGAGTAGGAGGGGAAGAGAGCGAGTGAGCCCGGGGGGGGGGAGGGAGAGCGGGAGGAGAGGGAAGGAGAGGGAGGAGAGGGGGAGCGGAGAGCGGGGGGAGCGAGGAAGGAAGACGAAGAAAGGCGGGCGCGGGCGGGAGCCGTATCGCGTCCGCCCATCAGTATCGCACGCCGTACGCCGTACGCAAACGGTCGTGCGTGCGTGCATGCGTGTGCATGTGCCCGCCCGTCATGCCTGTCCCATCTTGCAGGGCAGCGTGAAACGCGAGCCACCTCCTCTCCCCCCATCTCATATCATGCAGACAAGCAAGAATTATCATTCGGAAGAAACAACGCACCCAAACCCACTCGCATCCACCTCCCTGAAGAACTTGCCGCCCTCCCCGGCTACACCCGAGCCGAAGAGGGACGCGGTGTCGGTGTTGGAGAAGTCTTCGAGGAGGACGGGGCAGAGGTTGTCCTGCGGGTGCGAACGAAGTGAGCATGCAGTGAAGAGACGGGAATATGAAGGGGAGGTGAAGGGGAGGGAGGGGGAGGGAGGATAAGACAAGAAGCGAGCACGCGGAAAGGTGGACAAGACAAGAAGCGAGCGGAGGGAGGTGACGCGAGAGGCGTGGAAATAGGAAGAGAAGAGGGGGGAGAGAAGGGGGGAGGCAAGGGGAGGGAGACGCCAGCAAAGAACGCAGCGAGGTGAGGATTTTAAAAGGGGGAATGGGGACCAAGAAAGATGGGATAGTAGGATGAGGGAGGCGGGAAGAAGGGATAAGAGGAGGGGACAGAAGGGATGAGAGAAGGGGGGAGGAGGGACAAGATAAGAGGGGGGAGGAGGAGAGGGCGGCGGGCAGCAGAAGGACGAAGGACGACGTCTCGCACAAGCACGACTCGGCGGCAGCCCTTAAGACCCGCACGTCCGACGTGTCAAGACGCCCACGCCCCCGTCCGCGCCAGCGCCACGAATACGGAAGAACAAGCCGTACGGTAGCACAATAAAAGAATAACAAAGCCAAAAAAAAGAAAAAAAAAAAGACAAAGACACCCACCTGCAAAATCAACACGCCCGTCCACCCGAGGTACGCGCGCGCCGCGCCCGCGGCGATGCCTGTCCACCACATTATCATCAACATCTTCCAATAACAGCATTCAAGACGCCAAAAAACGCACCAAGCAAAACGACCCCATACGTGATCCAATACGCAAAGCGCGAATGGGGGTCGCGCATGCCGACCCAGGGCTTGGAGAGCGTGCCGGTGAGGGTGGGGCGCGTGCCGGCGGTTACTTTGGGGCGTTTGGGGTCTCCTGTAGATGCGTGTCAGTTTTTTTCCACCAAGACAGAGCGAAGCAATATGTGAAATACAAGGAAGAAAAAGAAGGGAGGAAGAAGACATACCATCCTCATAAACCAACGCACTCGGCACCAATATCGCCGTGCTCTTCGGCCTCTCCCTCCTCAGCCTCGCCGTCGACGGCGCAGCGTAGATCGTCAGCGGGCGTGCGGGCGGGGACGCGAACGCCTCCCGCTTTGCCGGCCTTCCGTCGGAGCCGGTGGCGTTGCCCAGGGCGAGGTGGCGGGGTGGATCCCCAGTCGACGCAGAGCCGGGACGCAGCGACCCACTCGTGCTGGGTCGGCTTGAAGCTGCCGCGGTCGCCGCCGCCGCCGAAGGAGTACGTGAGAAGGCGCGCGGCATGTCGACGAGGGAGGACGCGCGCGTGCTGCCTGGGCTGGGGAAGGGTAGCCCGTGCTGCCGACGCTCGCGTTGTGTGGTGTCCCGAGGGCGAGTCGGCGGGGAGCGGGGGGCGAGCCGAGCGGGGGCGGGGAGGAGAAGGACGCGCTGAAGGAGCGCACGGAGGCGGGTGGGGAGAAGGGGTTCTGCGGCGGCTGGGCGGGGCCGTTGGGCGGGGGTGCCGGGCATCGAGGTGGAGGAGGAAGAGGCGAAGAAGGGGTTGGGGCCGCCGTCGCGGGTGACGGGGGGGGTGAGGAGGAAGGAGAGCGAGCGCGGGTGACGGGCGGGAGTGGCCGGGGAGTGGGTGCCGGCGGTGGGGCGGTGGGGAGGCGGCTCGGAGTTGTCGCTGCCGCTTCCGTTGCCGTTGTTGGACGCAAAGGGCGGGTTGGGCGGGAGGAACGAGAGCGGGGCGGGGCGGGACATGGTTCACAAGGACAGTCTTGGTCGACAAAAAGAAAGGACAAGTCGACGCAGCGAGACAGACAGACGAAGACCTAGCACGAAGCACGACCAGAGGCGAGCTATAATATAAGTGCCTTCAAAGAACCTTCATCTAGATTCGATTCCTGTTCCTCTTTCAACCGCCGCCAGCCCAGTGCCACCGGCCGGCGACGTAAACCCATATCCCAGAATAGCCTCCGTTCGTCCCTATCAAGGGGCACCCATCCTGTCTGCTTGCCTGCCAGCTGTTCCCTGCTCGGCTGTCCTCTATCGTACTCCGTCACCGGCGAAAAAAAAACACATCGGACGATAACCACTTTGACAGTCATGTCAAAGGGAGTGGGAGCCAAGAACATGGAATCCCGGGAATCCCCCATCAGAAATCCTTTCATTATGTCCACTACACGCTCGGCAACGCGGACCCAAATCCATAACGCCGTCTCTCCCCATTCGACAACGCGTATCTGCGGCTGTGCCAAGACACCAAGGGGCGAATCAAAAACACTGAATCAAAAATTTAAACAACGAAACCGGTGACTCGGACGCGGGCGACGGAGATCTCCTTCCTATCCTGCTATAGAGTCTCGTTATCTGTGACGACGACGGAGATCTCGTTCCTATACAGTCTCGTTATCTGTGATTGCGCCCTTTGTGCCCTTTTATGCTAGCACCAGCGTTATTCTCGGAGATGATGCTCTTTGTATTGAGAGAGTCGGCGACTCAACTGCCCCGAAAATTGGAGCAATCACAATCGCAATTGCAGTGGGGTCTGGACTCTGGACTGTGTTTGAGTGGGACAGGACAGGAATAAGGGTGTTGGGAGGGTGGTATGTTGCAATCTAAATAGCCAGTCAGACGCGGAACGTCTTGCGCATGCGTGTGGAAAGGAAAATCAAGGTTAAATTTGGGTTAAATCAAAAAAAAATTCATACAAAATACCTGCAATGACCTGACCCGGACTCGAACCGGGGATCCCCACAAATGCATTCATTCGATCGTAATAAGAGTGGGTGTGATGCCTTTCACCACCAGGTCATTATTCCCCCTCTTTGGAAGGTGTATTTATGTGAGAGTTTTGGCGGTAAAAAGAGACATAACATTTGATAGGAAAAAAGTTGTATGAAGAATCGGGATGACCTGGCCTGGATTCGAACCGGAGACTCCCACAAATCTGCTACATCTCAAATCAGAAGTGGAATAGGTGTGATACATTTCACCACCAGGTCTTCCTACCTTGTTTTGCGAGGTGTATTTATACTAGAATTTTTGAAAGGCGAAAAAAATGCACGGGAAAAAATTACATGCAAGAAAAAAAGATGACCTGGCCCGGACTCGAACCAGGGACTCCCACCAACACCTTAAACCAGCTGCGCTTAGGCAGAGTAGGTGTGATTCATTTCACCACCAGGTCATACTATCCCTCTTCACAAGGTGTATTATACTAGACTTTCACCCAACTTGACCACGATTCTTTATGGAAAATAAATAAAATAAACCAAAAAAAAAGGATACTGGAATATGGCAGTCCTGAGTATGTGTCCGAGTCCGAGATGTCAAATAGTCAAATAATCGAATTTGAACAGAAGAAAAAAAGATGACCTAGCCTGGATTCAAACCAGGGACTCCCATAAACAATTTCTGAAAAATACATAACTGTGATGGGTGTGATTTATTTCACCACCAGGTCACATTCCCCCTCTCACAAGGTGTATTTATACTAGAATTTTGGAGGCAAAAAATGAGTGGGAGGTGAAAAAAAGTAAACAAGTAGAAATGCATAACCTGACCCAGATTCGAACCAGGACTCCCATAAAACCTGCTGCATCTCGAATCAGAAGGAATGGGTGTGATACATTTCACCACCAGGTCATATTCCCCACTCTAACAAGGTGTATTTATACTAGACTTTTTGTCGTAAAACTGAAGGAAAAAAGATTAAATTGAAAGCAAAAAGGATGACCTGGCCCGGATTTGAACCAGAGACTCCCACAACAACTGAGTTCAACCAAATGCAGGAAAAGTGGACATGATACACTTCACCACCAGGTTTGCTACTTCTTCCAAGGTGTATTATACTAACTTTTGTTGTAAAACTGAAGGAAAAAAAAGACTGGAAACAATTCAAGAATGACCTGACCCGGACTCGAACCGGGGATCCCCACAAATACATGTCCTACAAGCATAAGCAGAGTGGGCATGATACATTTCACCACCAGGTCATTATTCCCTTCTCACAGGGGGTATTTATGTGAGAGTTTTGCTGTAAAAAGAGACATAAAAATGATAGGAAAAAGTTGTACGAAGAAATTCGGATGACCTGGCCCGGATTCGAACCGGGGATTCCCACAAAGCATTGCATCAATCTCCTAGCTAGAGTGAGTGTGATGCACTTCACCACCAGGACATATTCCCCACTCTAAAAGACATATTATACTTGACTTTTGTCGCAAAACTGAAGGAAAAAAATTACATGTAAAGCAAAAAAGAATGACCTGGCCCGGATTCAAACCAGGGACTCCACCACAAGCAAACCTCCGATACCACGCAGAGCAGGTAGATTCATTTCACCACCAGTCATATTCCCCTCCTTTCAAAGGTGTATTTATCCTTGACTTTTTGTTGTGAACACTGGGTCAAAAAATAAAAGCTATAGGTGGAAAATGCATGACCTAGCCCAGATTCGAACTGGGATTCCCACCAACAACCTACCTCTTGCACAGCAGAGTAGGTGTGATACATTCACCACAGGTCTTATTATCTCTTCCCAAGCTGTATTTATACTTGATTTCTTGCTGTAAAATGCCGGGAACAAAGATTACATGCAAAGCAAAAAGATGACCTGACCCAGACTTGAACTAGGACTCCCACAATCGGAGTGGAATGAATACTTAGGTAGAGTGGGTATGATTCATTTCACCACCAGGTCTTCCTACCTCCTCTCACAAGGTGTATTGATACTGACTTTTGTCGTAAAAACTGAAGGAAAAAAAGATTACATGCAAAGCAATGCAGTATTAATGACCTGGCCCGGATTCGAACCAGGGATTCCCACAAATAACATATCAGAACACACCCAAGCAATGTGGATGTGATGCCTTTCACCACCAGGTCATATTCCCCCTCTTTATAAGGTGTATTTATACTAGACTTTTTGTCGTAAAAACTAAAGGAAAAAATTACATGCAAGCAACAATAGGATGACCTAGCCTGGACTCGAACCGGGGACTCCCACGAGTACATACATCTATGCCATTAAGGCAAAGCAGTGTGATACATTTCACCACCAGGTCATATTATCTCTCTTTAGAAGGTGTATTTATACTAGAATTTTTGGAGGCAAAAAAAATGCACGGGAAAAAAGAATGACCTGACCCGGACTCAAACCAGGGATTCCTACAAATACCTTTGATTCTCCCTGGTAGGCAAAGCAGATGTGATACCTTTCACCACCAGGTCATAGTCCCCTCCCTTTCATAGGTATTTATACAGAATTTTTGTCGTAAAAAATGCATGGGAAAAAAAGATTAAATTGAAAGTGAATAAGAATGACCTGACCCGGGTTTGAACCAGGGATCCCCACAAATACATGTCCTACAAGCATAAGCGGAGTGGGCATGATACATTTCACCACCAGGTCTTCCTACTTCATGTTCACAGGATATATTTATACTAGACTTTCGGAGGCAAAAATACATGGAAGGGAAAAAATTACAGAGAGACGAACTATGACCTGACCCAGGTTCGAACTGGGGATTCCCATAAAATCTACATCACCTCAATAGGTAAAATGGGTGTGATACATTTCACCACAAGGTCATATTCCCCATCTTTAGATGGTGTAGTTATACTGACTTTTTGTCGTAAAAACTGAAGGAAAAAAAATTACATGCAAGCAACAATAGGATGACCTAGCCCAGATTCGAACCGGGGACCCTCCATAAACACTTTTCAAATGAACACATAACTGCAATGGGTATGATACATTTCACCACCAGGTCATATCTTCCCTCTTTAGAAGTTGTATTTATACAGAGTTTTCGGAGGCAAAAATGAGTGGGAGGGAAAAAATGTTACATTGAAAGTAATGCAGTATTAATGACCTGACCTGGACTCAAACCAGGGACTCCCACAAACACATTTCTAAATCATTTAATAAGAGCAGGTATGATTCATTTCACCACCAGGTCATATTCCTCCCCTTTGGAAGGTGTATTTATACTACAATTTTTGAAAGCAAGATGCAGGGGAAAAAAGATTAAATTGAAAGTGAATAAGAATGACCTGACCCGGGTTTGAACCAGGGACTCCCACAACAACTGAGTTCAACAAAATGCAGGGAAAGTGGACATGATACACTTCACCACCAGGTCACATTCCCCCTCTTCACAAGGTGTATTTATACTTGACTTTCTTGTTGTAAAATGCATGGGAAAAAAAGATTAAATTGAAAGCAAAAAATGATGACCTGGCCCGGATCCGAACTGGGAATTCCCACAAAGCAATTGGTAACAACTTGGATCTGAACTACGGTGGGTGTGATTCATTTCACCACCAGGTCATATCCTTCTCTTTAGAAGGTGTATTATACTAGATTTTTTGGGGGCAAAAAAAAATAATAGGAGGAGCCAAAAAAAAGTTCATATCTTCGACAGTGAATGACCTGACCCAGATTCAAACCGGGATCCCACAAA